GTATGTTTCTCAATATGAATTTAATCTAAACAAATGTTGATAGTAAAATAAATATATAATAACAAATCCGTCACAACATGTAAAAATTTCAAGACAATAATACCATCGAAGGCATGTGTTCTTAACGAATTGATGAATTCCGCTTCTGACACCAATTTGTTATAAACTGCTTTCGACACCACTTTGTTACGGTTGTGCTATGTTCGTACTTCGCTGTCTCTTCAACTTTATTAGAATTTTATCTATTTGTATTTGGAAATGACTCATACCAAATATAAACATATCAAATTTTTGCTGATTACTATACTATTAACACACAAGAAAATTAGGTTTTGCTTCTTCTGGCAACATTCTTCCCTCTCACATTTCCTACTCTATTTTTCAGTTAAACTCTAGTCTTTTTTTATACTTATTTTTCAAAATTACGCCTACAGTTCCATTTTTATCTAACATAAACACCTGTTTTTTCTTCTAATTAAGATTATAGCACTCATAATCATTGGAGGTTCTGTATTCTCCAGAGCGGCTAAACAAGAAAGGTGGTCGATCCCTCTAGTAATTTTCTACCAACTTGTTGCTGTAATCCTTTAGTCCCTTAGGGACTGACCAAAAGTTCGTACCTCCACCAACCTAAACCGGTTCTTTCAATAAACTTCGAAATATTGGTGAATGGAAAATTTAGTATAGTGTTTTATTTATTTTTATCGGGAATGTTCAAGGAACTTCACAAAGGGTTTGTTTGTAATTAAGCACAAAGCTACACAATGGGCTATCTGTGCTCTGCCCACCACGGGTATCGAAACCCAGATTCTAGCGTTGTAAGTCCGCAGACATCCCGCCGTGCCTCTGGGGGCTTAACAAAGGGGCAGTGTTATAAGTTATATTTTTCTATTGTAATTTGTTTGTTAATTAAATGTATGTGCGAATTGTAATTATGAAGATAAGATCAAAAGATTTAATAATATAGGCCTAGAAAGATTTAAAGTTTGAAGTTTTCTGGTAAATTCAAGGGTAGATTATAAATATGAGGTTTTGAGATAATACAAAATGTAGTAGAATTGTTTCTAGCCGGTAGAGTGAATCAGTCAGTGTGTTTCGGTTTCAGCCAGGAAGTGATGCAAGTAAATTTATTCTTTACGTCATGCAGTTAGCGTCACCTGTAAACGTGGCGTTAAAGTTATCATAGTGTTCAAGGTAGTAAAAACTTAAAGAAGAACTATGCTAATTTTGTTATCGTTTACTTGGATTAAACGTAGAATTATTTTCACCATATAATTTAAAAGAACCTGCCAACGAGAAAACAGTTACACACAATTCAACAATATGCTTAGCATAAGAAACGTTCATTCTTCAGACAGAACAACATCGCGTTCTGTCATATATAGGAACAATGTTGTTGCAGTTTTATTCTAAAGATATTGACAACATTGATAAGATTACCTATATACTTTAGGATCAACAGGGGGTGTCTTAACGAATTACCAGTAATTTGTAGCAGAGAATAACCGTAATTTAGTTGATAACAGTTATCGTTTAACTTGATGACTTTCAATATTGGTTTTTATGTTTGCTTAATCATATAGCTATTCAAACCATGCACTGCATCCTCTGGTGAGGAATTTATAAAATATTAAATTGTGATAAAGTTTTTGTAACATTTGGTCACAAATTTTACAACATTAAATGTTTATTTTTGTACATTATATTATCGCAAGAAAGCTGTAGGTGTACAAATTACACAACGTAAATATTGTGCATGAATTAAATAGCACAAACTGATTAAATGTAAAGATATTTAGCTGTATAAAATAAAAAATTATATGTAATGCTTTTTTGAGTATTACATCTGTTGCCGTTATGTGTGGCACGTATAAAACAAATTTCAATCAGTCATTCTTAAAAAATATATATATACTATATACTGAGGTTAGTACCTCGCTAAACAACGCAGTGTTCCGAAAAACCGGTTTTCTTCTGTCTTTCAAATCGTGATTCCAACTTACAGAGCTACGTCATAGATTCGGGCATGGCAACAACTAGTCATACACCGATTTCATTCATGCGACGAAAGCCAATCAGCGTTGAACGAGCCTGAGCAATCTTGGCTGGTTAAGAAAACGTATTGTACGAGTAGCGTTTCATAACACTTGAGAAGGCGAATTATTAACGAAAAGCAAGCCCTATTTTTCTGTGTTAAAGTAGGTGAAAATTCAACTTAGTCAATATTTAGTTCAGGCTAGAGAGAGTTCACAGAAAGTTTAGAACAAGAAAGTGTATCTCATCATCAGGGTGTCCCAGACAAAGACACAGGTGACAGACTCTTGGTGCGGTGACATACTTTTTTCGAACTCAAGACGGCAGCTGCAAGTGGAGTGTGCTTGTCGCTTTAAAGTTCTTAAAAGTAATCTGAACATAACATAATCTACGAACTGGTAAGTTTGAAGTTAGTATCCCTTCGTATAAGAAGACTTTTAAAAAGTACGCACAATCGGATAAGACGTCATAAATGAAAATAAATTTACAGATAATATCAGAAAACTATTACTAGTATTAGGATTTCAGTTTTACGGGTTTAAATTAAACTTAAAGCTCACTTATAACATTTAGCCCGAAGAATGAATTACTCGTATTTTGATAGAATTTCAATGAGCTCAATGAACAATTTCAGTGTTTGTGTTGAAAATATATTTAATATTTAGACGAGCAGTATTTTGTAGCCGTATTCCAAAGCCATTATTATTTTTTAAACAAAACATATTCTTCCAAAGCCTATTTATATTTATTTGTAACATTTACGCTGGTCATCTACTTTGACAGTGCCCGTGCAAATAAATAAGGTATTGGTGCGATTTTTACATAACTTGTTTAGACGATCAGAATTGCCCTCCAGTGGCATTTTCTAGCATTTCCAAATTGTCCCCTGTGGGGCGTGCGTCCCACGTCCAGAATCACTGGTTTATACAGATGTTAGTATATATATATATTTACTAAAGATATATAAATACACCTTATTTGTCTGTTAGGGGGAGAGAAGAGTTTCAACTTTTCCTGCTCCTTATCTTGCCAAATTTGAAACAAATGATATAATTTAAAAACTTAGGAAGTTACGTGAGTTAACAACGGTACTCTTTATCCAGGTTTTCAATTATAAGACAGCCGCATATGTTACGATGGTTTATTATGTTAGTACACACATTTAGTCCGCATATGTTACGATGGTTTATTATGTTAGTACATATATTTAGTCCGCATATGTTACGATGATTTATTATGTTAGTACATACATTTAGTCCGCATATGTTACGATGGTTTATTATGTTAGTACATACATTTAGTCCGCATATGTTACGATGGTTTAATTATGTTAGTACATACATTTACTTAGGTTACGTAGAAAATTGAATCGGGATATGAATTGAATAAGATTTGGTAATTAATCTGTCTCAATGTATAAATTTGTGCATTGTACTTCTTGGGGCGTAAAATGGACGAAGATACCCGAGATTAAACATATTTTGGTTTTATTAGTCGTAAACTTGCTAAAATATAGATATCTTAGAGGGACCATGAAGAAGAATACATCTCTCAATAAGCTGAAAACATTAAGAACAACTTAATTAAACGACAGCTTTCATGTCTATAGTTCATATTGATGATCATTGTATATTTTCAACGAAACTTATGGTGTTAATTAATATATTTGTTGTCATTTAAAGGTTACTGAACACGTAATTCTTTTCTCAATTTTAGTATAAAATGGAACACGATTCATTTTATGCTGACATCATTGTTGCATCAAGTGACACTTTTTCCCCTGGATCGTGCAAGTTTCCCAAACCTAGACGAGTTCCAATGGTATGTGTGGAATTTGTTATAAAAAAATCCACTAAAGTAACTAATATAGATATTTAAAAGTTTCAGTTTAACTGAAACGTAGTTTGATTTTTTTTGTTTTAACATGGAACATGTTTTGACTACTGTGTATGATTGATTATATGCTTATCTTAGTGAGTCTTGTATTGTGTAAAAAATTATGGAAAGTCAACTACCATAATAAGTGCATTTTAGTAACAATCGCGCAGAAAATAGAGTTGGCGTATTTCAAACTTAGGTGTACGTCTTATGAAAATATTATATATACCTTTTTAGAGAAATATATAAATTATAAGACTTGATTAGAATTTACAAATGTTATTTTATAGGAAATGAAATATTTTATTGCTTATTATACAGATTCTAAATGTATATGCTTGTTCTAAACTAATAACTAAAGTTTCATTATGTTTCAAATTTAGCAGCAACAATCAAGTTAAAAGTAACATGTTTATTTATCATCGTAACAGAAAACTACATTTAGACGGTCATAAAAAACGAAATTTGATGTTAACAGTGTGCTTAATAGTAACAAGAGAAAATTATTATTTCGCTTGCGAAATGTCGTATGATTTGACTCAATATTTTATGGCATTTTAGATACTTTAAATGTTCAGAATGGCATGTTTTGATTTTCTACTTTGAAATACGCAATCTCAAATTACCTGTAATTAGTCTAATCCAAAATCAATATCAACTGTTTGTTAACAGCTTCATATGGGATCTTTTCATGGTACAAACTCGTAATTATTATATAGGAATAATAATTATTTTTTAGACTTACCATTTTTATTCGAATGAAAGTATAGCCAATTTTCAGGCAGTGAGGTTGAAACATTAATATTATTTATGGATACCAACTGAGTGTTTTTTGACACTAACGACGTTTCGCACTTACGGAAAATGGAAGTTGAAACGTCGTCATTATCAAAAATAATCAAACATATGGAGACTCCAAAACTGGTAGTGTTAAGAATCACTTGATACACTGCTGCGTGGAAAATGGAGTTCGAAACGTCGTTAGCCTCAACATCCCCCTGGGAGTTACTTTCCATAATTAATCCTGTAAAGTTAAAAATCATTAGAAAGCAAAATGGAAAATGGATGCGAAAATACAGAATCCAAGTTAAATATAAATTTAAACGTCAGTGAACGGTTTTTACCAATTTGGTGCTGACGTGTCTTTGACCACAAACTGTAAATCCGATAATTTATGTTTTGCATCCCGTTTCCGTTAACATGTGTTCCACACTTTGAGACCATGAATGTGCTGTAAGTGTGATGATCATATCCCACTATTCAGTCGACAAGAGTAGCTCAACAGTTGGCGGTGGGTACTGTTGACTAATTACCACCTTTCCAGTCTAGCAGTTTAAAATTAGGTACGGCTCTGGTGTAGATAACCCTCATGTAGCGTTGCGCGCAATTCAACAACAAATTATAAGAAGTATTTTAATGTTATTTCTCTCTTAATAAAATGATGCTTAGGTAAGAAAAACAAAACAAACACTGGAGTTTATATATATTTATATATTTGAACCCACAGATAGAGGATACAAAACAAATTTTCTCCATATAAGCTTGTATGGTTAAAAGATGGTATATATACTGGTTAATACAATTATGATGACTGATCGGTTAATGTGATGTGGCAAATAGCTGTCTACAAGCCATAATTTGGCCCTTTGCCAAATGACCGACTTTCCTGTAGTTACCCTTTTCTAGCAGTCTCGTAATTGGTGGAACCATGCTTAAATAAACAACTTGATTTGTTCATTCTTTAGGAAAAAGTAGTAAAGGTGTCATTGTATGGCAGTTGATCACAAAAAATGCTTCAAAACTGTCCTAAAAATATATATAAAGACAAAAGCAATCATCAAAGAGTTTTGAAAACAGTCCAAAAAAGCGTTACCAGCAATAAACTGTGCAAATACCCAATGTAATAAAATACTACATGAAAGAAGGAAGGCCTTTGCGTAGCATTATTGTTATTTGTTTATACATTTTCTCACAGATACAATTTTTTTCCTAATTTTGTGATCCGCTTACGAATGCAGTAAACCTTTATAATGTTTATTGTTTTGGTAACGTTTTGTTGATTTGCGTAATAGAATCAAACCTACTATTCATTAGAAGTGTATATGACGAAATGGAACTTTCTCATTAGACAAATACGTGACGAAAAAACGAACTTCATAGATAAAATTATTAGACTTAAAACTTCAAGGTTTATTCACATCTTGAACAAATATGATTTGCATTTAGGGCTAGTTTAATCTCTGCCATGTTCAAATAATAATAATAATAATACTTGCTGACCCTCAACACAGTTTTAATTATGTTATAATCGTTTTATTGCGGTATCTTTTGGAATGCAGATAAAAGTTAAAAGCTTAAAGGATTATTTTAATGGCATGTTCTGCGGTTTTGTGCAGTTGATACATCATAATTTGTACAGTTGTTAATATAACAATATTACTCCTGTTAATAATAAAGAAAAAACCTTGCTATGACGCCCCCCCCCCCCACCAGTGGCACAGCGGCTTGTCTGCGGACTTACAACGCTAAAATCCGGGTTTCGATCCCCGTGGTGGGCAGAGCACAGATAGCCCATTGTGTAGCTTTGTGCTTAATTACAAACAAAGAAATAAACCCTGCTATGTCTACGAGTGCGTGGTTTCCAAAGGCAACTGTGAAAAAAATATGGAACTGACCTGTTTTATGTGACGTCAGAACTTCTATAGAAGTAGATCGTACCATTTATTTGTCGATCACAAAACAACTGTTTTATTTCGCGAAATTTAAGCAGTTTACCTGAAAATAATATGCATCGATATATGCCATTTCAAAAGTGTGTTTCTGTCTACCACTTTTCTTGTTTTGTTTGTTACTTGTTAAGCGCAAAGCGATACAATGGGCTATCTGTGCTGTGCCCATCACGTATCGAAACTTGATTTTTAGCATCATAAGCTCTCACTTATTACAGAGCCACAGTGAGGGAGCAGTTTTTTGTTAAAATTTTCTCAGTATTAAATTACTTATAACTAAAATAAAATATTAGGTACGTTTTTCTGACACTGTGATTATTTTAACAGCTTTTAACGCTGTGTAGTTTTATAAATACTGTTGTTGAACGCGAATAGTCTGCGGGTCTTTATTAATTACAAAATTAATAATTCTTTGTGAAAAAGCTGGATACTAATGACAGCACTAAGTTAAAGAGAGAGAGGACTTGCGGTACTTACTAGTTGATGCTGTTATCAGTTGATCTGAGGATTAAGGATTTATTGGTGAAAGTAATGCTGACAAAGGAGATTCTTGAGATGGAATAATGTAGAATGTATCTAAGCGTAATTAATATTGCGTAAAATAAATGTGTTATACATAAATATGTTCGAATTGTCCATTTTCGTCAGGTTATTTAAGGTCAGTGCAACTGGACATAGAAAATGATTGGGGTAACTTTGAGTCACTGTTCACTAGTCAGTGGATTTTAGGAAAATATAAAGATTACACGCCATGTGGCTAGCGTTATATTTGCCGGTCACACTTCAGGTCAGATAGAAATTTTCCCACGACAAAATCGCCCCCTGGCGGTACCGATCATTCCTGTGCTTCTCTTAGTCGTAGAATATGTATGACTTGCAGTATATGTATATTTTGGTACAGACGGGCGATAGACGATCGACCTTGACGGGCTACCTCTACACCTGAACTGGTTTCAAGTGTTATCATTTCCGGCCCATTATACTGCCTTTTGTAAACATTTGGTTGTATCTATTCTTCAAAGTACACATACACGAGTTGTTCCTTTTTATAACATAATTCTCGAGATTTTTGCCACTCAGTTTGAGGAATTCCCAAACCAACTTAGGGGCTAGAAAACAGCTCTGCAAGACCGAGTTTTACTAATATAGAATACTAGATTTACAATGCTATTAAGAAGAATTTTGATGTTGTTTGCAAAATGAATCAAGCCAAACAAACAGTAGATGCATAATTTAATGTGTCTCAAAATCACAGTGAAACCTTGCAGCTTGAAATTGAAAACTTCCTATTTAGTTCTTGTTGAAAAGAAGAAATCTTATAATAAATGGAATTGACCTAATGTGTACAATTTAATGGATTGACTGTTTTAATGTCATGAATGTAAGTAATTTTGACTTACAAATGATCGTCGCATAAAGGTATAATAGTAACATTGTGACCAAAACGCTTTACGTAATAAATATATGTATTGCAAAAGCTAATTAAAATGTCAAATATAAAGTTCAGTGTAATTTGCAAAGAAATAGATCAAGTGAATAGAGCTCTTTATAATTCATGGTTCGTGGCTCGTTGTGGCGAAAATGAGAAAAGTAGCCCAAAAGTTAGCTGTTGATGAGCTGCTTTCTCTCTTGCATATCAGTTCAATATTCGGTGCGAAAATTCCGAAACAAACCTCTAAGTACACTAGTCAGTTGTGATTTAGTAGAAAATAGACGAATCTGCTTGTTTTTTCTCTTTTGTTTTGTTTGCAGTTTTTTTTTTATGGTTGCCTTATGCCTTTTTATAACTTCAATTTTTCTTAATACGGTGATAATCGATAATATTAGTTTTATTTACATTAGTAAATATATAACTGTGGTTTATCAATTCATGTCGTATGTGTTGTTTCGTCCAGTTTTGCTGGCAGTGTTCATTGACCACCTGCCACCTAATCAAATAATAAGCAGACAACCCTTACAAACTTAGCATCCTGTTCTGTTTATTCAGCTGAAACCACGTGACTAGATAGCTGAGCTGCTATTTGATGGGAGCTCAAAGTATCAAGTAGTATTTATAAGTTTTGTATTGTTCTTCCCCTTTAGTAATGGCAAGGGTTATTTTTACACGGAGAATATATGAAAACGTTAACCATAACTTAAAATTTCCAAAGTAAAGATCTTGTGACAAAAATGAGTTCTTTCTTGTGCCATATTTATTGATTTTATTAGTGCTAAAAACAACAACAAAATCATATTTGTTAGTTACCTGGCCTCTTTTAATTCGATTCTTGATATAAGTAAGAGTGTTTATGTATCTTATTTTGTGTTGCAGATAGAAGTTAAATTGGAGAATAATTACAGAGAATATGGCGGAATGGGCAGTTACGATATTTCCTATAAAGGGAGTTCTATGAATGATGACGCATCTGAACCAGTAGCGCCACCTAACCCCTTTGGTTCAATGCAAAAGGTACCTTCTATGAGTGACTTGTCTGAAGAAAGCTCAGCAGGTTAGTTTTGTTTTTAACTCTTTCTTACGTGAGAAGGAATTATTCTTGATAATGCACTATTTGGTTATTGAAAACATTTAAAAAAATGTAAACTACTGACAAAAATAACAACAATAAAAACATCAACCTGTTGTACTTCATTTAAGTGATTTAATTTTTACTGTATGTATATATCCATATTGAAAGTATTTTAACCATAGTTGCGGAAACTGGCTGTTTTTTTAACTGAGTGTTTCATACTACAGTTGTGATTTCTTTGAAGAGAAAGCCTTTGACTGTTATTATTTATCTCCAGTCGGAAGGAATTAGGACACTACATAAATTGTAGTACACTGTTCCACTTGAAAACACACCTCTCTTTGATATAGAGTAACCTGATACGTGTTAATGTTGAATGACATACACATGGTAATCTTTAGTCATGGCTGTTATGGAAAGTGTCAGCTTTAACCATGATCAAAATAGAAAGCATAAAAGTGTTTGTTCCTTTTATTGTACCCAGATAGTTGTTTGTGAAGTTCAGTCTCAGTATATATTTTCTTTATTTTTGATAAACGGACTGGCGACATTTGCCATGTGGTGACAAATAACAGCATTAAGAAGGAAATGGACTATACTCTCTTTATCGCCTAAACATTTATACGTGAAACTTGATAGCATGACATAACCAATTTGAACGGAAAGACTTAAATTTTTGCCAGACACGTATGTACAAAGCAGTCTTTGTGTAACTTTTTTACGTACTTCAATTTTCGAAAACATAAGACTGCTTTTATCCTTTGTCATAAGAATTTTACCCTCGTTACATTCCGCTACCATCGTGAAACTAGTCCGTGAGATAGTTTAACATCATCTTTCCTTCTCATTCATTGAGGAATATTTGCTGCAAAGTTATTAATATGTCGTTTTATACTCGTTAACTTTATTTTTTTTCAAATGTAATAATTTTATTTCACGTAATCTAACAGAAAGAAACTGAGTGGAATAGCTGGTGTACTTATAACACCCCAGAACTGTTTATTTGGGTAGCGGCTCAAAATACTGAATAATTAATTAATACGATGTAGTAAGGTTATTTAAGATAGTAGTTCCCAGCCTCTGGTACACGGAGATCTAACATTTTTTTCAAGTTAGTGTACATACATTATCAATAACAACTATGAAATATTGACTTAGCTGTTTGCCCCCCCCCCCTCTTTCCAACAAAGTTAACCAGTGATGTCTGGGGTACGGAAGAACTTTTGAAAAACATTAAATATAAAATACATCCCACGCCTCAAAATTGAAGGGCAGTCTCGATAGTTACCAATGTATTCCACTAGCCGGCACACACGTTCGCTAATTGTTGACTTATCCTTGAATGCAAGTAATACGTTAAGTATTCAAGCTGTGAGACACACCTCAATGTGCGCATTTTATTGACTCGTCCATTTGAAAAGTGCAGGTACAAATTATTTCTTTTGATTTACCTTTCTGTTAATATAAACCACTCTAAAGCTGTTGTTTTTGTAAAACAAATTACAAGCGTCAGGGGTACGCTGCAGGATTAAAGTTCTGATCGGGGTACGAGGCATAACAAGGATGTGGACCATGATCTGACACAAGAATTAAATAACAATGAATTTTTGTTCTTTGTCAATGAAACAGATAAAGTTGGAGATAACATGTTTAAAGCCATTTTTAGAAGAGCTCATTCTACTATCAAAGTTTCGGTTCTTCAAGGTCATTATCAAAGATTTTTATTGAAATAGCTTATTTATATATACACACACACACAAATATATATATAAACTTAGAACGACTTGTGGAAAAAAATTGCTGTCATCACAAATACTCTTGAGGAGACGATATGCCTAGTCTTTAAGATTACTCGAGTTATTTAGTTTAAGTCATACACGCCGATCTAAAAATATCTCGATTGAGTTTGCTTGGAACAGATAATCACATTTCTCATAGTTTACCTTTCTCTCGTGAGGAAGCGCTGTGTAACAGTATTTTGACCCCTTAACATAGACGCAATGACTAAATGTCTAAAATGAGCAGTCTTGAAGATATTGCAAAAACAATAAACATGTATATCATTTGCAAGCTTTATTTTAAAGATACAGTTAGTCAGATCGAAAGGACATATTAAAATAACCAGATTAACAAAATAGTAAATTTTATATTTACTTGAACGCTAGCTTATGTGTAATATCAAACCACTTTTTGTGTGAATATGATCATACTTAGATAAGGTATCTTAAAAACATTCAACGGGTGCTCAGAGTGCAAAGAGTTTCAGTAGGAGCTGAGTATCTATCAGGATCAAAAAACTATAACGGATGATAACTTTCTGTTAAATTTTCTATGTCCTAGTGCACTTTGAAATTTTTAAGGTTTCAGTGAATGACCTTGAAATAACTAGTACAGTTTCATTTAGGCCTAACAGTGTTGAGTTTTTTTACGTGGCTATGACATTGTGGTAATCTTACTTTTATGTCTATCGCAAGCAGGTTTCGAAATCGGGATCACTCTCACTGTAAGCAGTGCCCAACAACTGAACTAAGGCGTTAAATATTACTTTTTTTTTAACTCAACTACTACCACAGTATTTCCTCTGTTACAGTAAACTGCCGTTAAATTTTGAGTATTCAGTATTTAGTAAAAACTTACTGTCTCAAAACAGTAAAATGTGCTAACTTGACATAAGTTGTTATACGTTTGATATTTTTTATGGGATATAATTTTTGGGGTCAGGTCATTTAAATGTTTTCGTAATGTGCTAGTTTGTTCAGGTAAAATTGATATCAATGTCAAAACTACAACAACCGGAAGCAAATTGAAAACAATATTTTTTATAAACGTCATTGTAGTTGTATTCAAGGTGCTTTTACTGTTTGTTTGTTGTTAAGCCCAAAGCTGTACAATGTGCTGTTTGTGCCCTGCTCACCTCGGGTACCGAAACCTCAATATATTTGTTATAATTTCTCAAATTTACTGCCGAGCCAAAGAGGGGGAGGCTTCTTTTCTTAACGTGGTTATATCCAGTTTTCATTTTCCTTAACATAATTGTAAAATATACTCAGAAAAGTTTTTATAAATTAGAGAATACCATTGTTTAAATGTATTCCGTAGTTCAGGCATACAAATATAAAAAAAAAACAAGTGATTAATTTTAGTTTTAACCGTATATTGTTTTTGCTTAGTTTTTGAACGTAATTGTTGCTTAGTGTGTTTTTGCTTAGTTTTGAACTTAATTGTTGCTTAGTGTATTTTTGCTTAGTTTTTGAACGTAATTGTTGCCTAGTGTGTTTTTGCTTAGTTTTTGAACGTAATTGTTGCTTAGTGTGTTTTTGCTTAGTTTTGAACTTAATTGTTGCTTAGTGTATTTTTGGTTCGTTTTTGAAAGTAATTTTTGCGTAGTTTTTGAACGTAATTATTGTCTAGTGTGTTTTTGCTTAGTTTTTGAACGTAATTGTTGCTCAGTGTGTTTTTGCTTAGTCTTTGAACGTAACCGTTGCTTAGTTTTTGAACTTAATTGTTGCTTAGTGTGTTTTTGCTTAGTTTTTGAACTTAATTGTTGCTTAGTGTATTTTTGCTTAGTTTTGAACTTAATTGTTGCTTAGTGTAGTTTTGCTTAGTTTTTGAACTTAATTGTTGCTTAGTGTATTTTTGGTTAGTTTTTGAACGTAATTTTGCTTAGTTTTGAACGTAATTATTGCCTAGTGTGTTTTTGCTTAGTTTGAACGTAATTATTGCCTAGTGTGTTTTTGCTTAGTTTTGAACGTAATTATTGCCTAGTGTGTTTTTGCTTAGTTTTTGAACGTAATTGTTGCTCAGTGTGTTTTTGCTTAGTTTTTGAACTTAATTGTTGCTTAGTGTGTTTTTGCTTAGTTTTGATCTTAATTGTTGCTTAGTGTATTTTTGCTTAGTTTTTGAACGTAATTTATGCTTAGTGTGTTTCTGCTTAGTTTTTGAACGTAATTGTTGCTTAGTGTATTTTTGGTTAGTTTTTGAACGTAATTTTTGCTTAGTTTTTAAACGTAATTGTTGCTTAGTGTGTTTCTGCTTAGTTTTTGAACGTAATTGTTGCTTAGTGTATTTTTGGTTAGTTTTTGAACGTAATTTTTGCTTAGTTTTTAAACGTAATTGTTGCTTAGTGTGTTTTTGTTTAGTTTTTGAACGTAATTGTTGCCTAGTGTGTTTTGCTTAGTTTTTGAACGTAATTGTTGCCTAGTGTGTTTTTGCTTAGTTTTGAACGTAATTGTTGCCTAGTGTGTTTTTGCTTAGTTTTTGAACGTAATTGTACGTAGCTGCTTAGTTTACACTTTTTTGTCCTGAACTTCGTGTGAAGATGATTATTTTTAAAGTACGATAATACGTTTTGAGTTAGGGGAATTTGTTTACAACTTATTTGTTCGTGACTGGTATCACGTAACACAACGTAATTTGCTTTTCTTTGAAAGTCAGGCTTCTGCGCAGTACTGTTACACCGGATGCTGTTAGGATATATTATACGCATAAAAAAAAAAAAACACACCCAACAAAAGACAAAACAATTAAAATGTCTGTAAAAAGGTACGATTAAGCACCCGTTGTTCTTCCTGTAGCAAGTGTACATGAAACTTAATTTATTCAGAACACGAACAGTCTGCTTGCTACTTGATATCTAAACGTTCCGTTATTTTATTTTTCTAAATTATGGTACTTAATATGAATATAAGAATATTTATATTATCAAGATTCATCTAATTTAGTTGATTTAAAACTATCTATATTTTGTTCGAACATTTGACCAGAAGTTATCAGGGCAAATGACCAGGTTTTTTTTTTTAAACCAACTTGGGAAAAGTTGTTAATTTGTATGTTTCAACAGAAAGCTGTTAATTTGTATGTTTCAACAGAAAGCTGTTAATTTGTGTTTCAACAGAAAGCTGTTAATTTGTATGTTTCAACAGAAAGAAAGTAAACAAGAAAGTAAAATTGGTTCTTGAAAATGAAAGTTAAAATAGAGATGG